AAGACCGTGCTTGTGGATTGTGTGACATCTAATCCTTTCTATGCGGCGAGAGTGCAAATCTCCCCTAGCTGTCGGTACTCTCTCGCTCTCTCTCACTCGGATCGACTGGACGATAATCGCTGGTTTCTTTTTCAAAATTACTGGTGACTCACTAGTGGGAACGTAGGGTACTACAGTGAATTACTAGTGACTTTTGGGGAGGTCAAAGAAAGGATTAAGAGTATTCTAGGTCACAAAAGTGCATTCTCACAATTTTTATTTCCTTGTGTTCACGTAAGTCGGGATCTTTTGCATGAACAAAAACGTGTCCACCCGAACCTCTCGTGCAAAAAACTGAAATGTTTTCTATCGACACGAGCTCATCGTGAACTCGTCAAACATTTCTTTAGCACCTTCTTGGACTGCCCAGAAGCTCAGCATAAAAAACTAAAAAAATTATTTCTTCGAGTTCGCATGATTTTTGAACTCATTTTTCCCCACTTGTGTTCACATAGTTATCCACGGGTATGTGACAAGAGGATCGTAATTTGCCGCGCTGCTGGGCGTCGCGTGCGACGTCCGCCCGCAAAGGACGATGGTTTCAGGCAGTAGATGGCGACAACATGCAATTAAGGACCGAAAACAGTAATGAGTGTCTACGATGACGGGGTCTACATGAAGTCCGGTGCTCCATTCGACAGGTTAAAACGAGTTATGAAAACGCCGCGCCCATCGCCGCGCGTGGCGGTGCGGCGAATTACGATCCTCTTTACCGTCTCCCGTTATCCACGTGGAGTGTATCGAATAACTGTGCTCACTTAATTTTGGTCAGGTACTACACTGTCCTTGGTGTAGAAGTGTGATATCTAACGCTATCTTCGTTTTCTATTGAATAGCCTAGCCTTCACTTTTCTCAATATCACCGTGCTCACGTTGAAAGCAGGCTGACCGTTCTTCAAGTTGGTGAGTCACTCTGCGTGCTCCACAGCAGCGTGCTCTCCCGTCTGCTGCCTGCCCTCGAGAGCGAGACGCAGAGAAAAAAGGATTTAGTTGTCTTACGAGTGCAACTGGTAAGAATCCACACACACATTCCGCCACCAGTGGTTTCTCAAGGGCTGCCGAAATCTGTTGTGGATTCCTAACTAGCTTAGTTGGCAAGCAAAATAGAAAGTAGTAAGCAATCGTTGTAGATTCCGTCATTTCCATCTAGTTCAAGAGTACGGTCGTATGGAAAGCTCTATGAAAGCTAAAGTAACACTGTATTAGAACATCGGGAGTTTCAATCAAGCTAAACTCGTCCTGTAAATAAGGGGAGCAGTTTCCCCTATTGCAGCAGCAGGGGAGGGGAGAATAAGGGGAGGTGGAATCCTGCCCTGGTAATCTACGAAGTGAGTGTCATTCGTACACAGTCGAATGGAGTTCAGCACTGGAAAGTCCTAAGAAACAGGGGCAAATCTTAGCGTTGCACTGGTTTCCTTTCACATGTTTCCGAAAAAAAGCAAGTAAAAAGGCGAAAGAACAACAAACTCTAGAGGGAGGGGGCGGGTCTTATTAAACCAGGTGAAACCATGGGGATTTCCCATCGTGAAAGTGGAAACGGGAACTGAACCTATAATTTTTGCTTCAACGCATTACATCTAACCGTAAGTAGCGCATTATCAAGACTGTTAGTAAAGCGCATTCGTCTTTGCCGACAAGAATTGTTAAAGATAACATTACTCTGGAAAGCACAATTGGTGTCGGCCGCTATTGTAAGAGAATAGCCCATGTCATACGAACTTCTGTTTTTACTCTTTATATCTTACCATTAGTTAAAAATTTCAACTTCAACAAATTGTATCAAGAAGGACTTATTTGCATCACTACTTCGCGTAAGAGATGAGAAATCGCTCACAAAGATGTAGCTGGAACAAGTGGGCGTTTTACTAAAAGTGAAAGCATGGTTTCGGGACACCATGAACTCCAACTGTGCCTATTGAATTGTGTGTCACTTCGTTCCACCCTGACAAAAAAGAAACAGGAAGTAAAAAAAATCACTGAAATCGGAAAACAAAATCGCTCCAACATCAACATGATGCATAATGATTTGAGGACAATAGATGAAAGTAATATCCACGAGTACATCCCTTTCATAGATAGGCATACAGCAGATAATAATATGACAATAAATTGAATAACATAATGACAATCGAAAATATGAAAGTACCAAACAACGAATGAAAGTACGAATCTGTACGGTGATAGTAAAAACAAGTACGACTGCACCCTGTATTGAACGGTCAACAAATTTTTTTTCTTTACATCACATAGTTAATGGTCTTGTTATATGGAATCACCCTTTTGCCTGACGACTTCTTCAGAGGCCTGAAAATGCCTCGGGACCTTTATTCTGCAAGCTGCCCGTGCATAGCCCTCGCTCTAGCGTTCTTGATGCCGTGAGAATACTCACGAATGAAACGGTAATAAGAACTTCAAGACGGAGAATGTCAAGACCACACTCCGATCGCATAACACAATCCATGGGCCGTGGAGTCCATATATGATTGTGGAGCTAGTTGATTTCTCAACGATAAACTGGGGAAACCGCCTGAAACGCACTACAGTCCCAGCACTGGATGAGTATTCAAAGAAGCGAGATGCTACTGTGCGAGCGAAAGACCAGAGAAAAGGGTGTGGAACGAGTTGGAAGATAAGGGAGACGACAAGATCATTTCCGCAGAGATTGAACGCAACGCCCTGGATCTGTGCTTACAAACGTTCGATCCCCTGCATATCTCGTCCCCAGATGCAATGGAGCTTACCACCATCAACCCGAAAACTTCACCTTGACTTTGTACTACCTTTATTCTTCATTATTAATAATTTCTTGATTTTTACGGTTTCAGGCACAGACACACAAATATACCCCCCTACAAGATGGCCTCTTATCTATTTTTGTCAACTGATGTGATTACCTGCCACTCGTCATCAATGTTCCTTTCACTAGACCTCTTCAACTTGGTAATGTAAAAGATTCACCACCTTGAACGCCGACCACGACCGCAACGTCCCTGATCAGCCCAATCAGTTATCACTTCCTGTCTCCCACTGATGTCCCCATCTTCCCCTTCTATCATTTGCTGCGTCCAACGCCTAGCTGTTACTGTGAAACACACTGTAAATACATTGACCTTACCATTCTAAAGCCCCTTATCAAATCTTATCAGTTGCTAACAGTTTTTGCCAATGATGTTCCTCTGTCATAGCCTATGTCATACCCAGGAATGATATAGGCTATGACAGAGGAACATTATTGGCAAGAAACCTCTAGCTGATGCTGTGCCCCTCGTTATGTGCTGAACTTCCTTTTCTGACGCCCCTTATCTGGTCTTATCAGCTGATATCACTTCCTTTCACCCACCAATAATGTTCCCGTCACAGCCCGTACATAGTTTCTAGGAAGAAAGTCTCACTGTTAGTAGGATGGGCGGTATGAAATTAGTGATACACTAACAGACATACTCAGCAGACTATGCATAAAAGGATCAGGCTGTGTATTATACCACGGCATGTTGTTAAGAACCGTTTACCCTCCATCGAATCTCATCGTGCCGTACAAATATAGTGGTGATCCATGCAAATGATAGGGGCTGCGGGAGCGCAGTCAGGGCGGCCTTATTGCAACAATAATGTCGTCCTGAGTACGCTACAACTGGTGAGAAATCTGCCCTGGCTGAGCTCTGAGCCCCATTGTCGTTCTACGCCTTATCGTTTTCAGGGATCACGACTATATACTCATCCGAAGTTACCGTATTATACGAGAGTGTCTTCAACACGACGTCGCAATGGCTAGAGAAATAAGTGCTTGGTCGAGTAGCTAGCAAGTTGAGCCTAGAGCCACTTTCATGGCTCTGAAAAGGCAAGGAGGTTAAAAGGTTTCACCGAGTGATGATTTCTTCTACGGAAACTTTTACAGGAGGCATCAACAAGGAATGACACGGGGTCAACAAGCTACTTCTTCCTCAACACGGCCACTTTTTCTTTTAACACCATTTCTGGATAGTAAAACGGGAAAGACGACGTCTTCCTGAAGAGATGGCCAGAAATTATAAGTATAAATGGGAAGAAAATCAATTTTTTTCGTACTTAATGTTGAAGCGATGAAACGCCGGCACGGCAAACATCACACGATGATGAGTCGAGTAGTTTGTCTGCACAATCTTCTTCAGATCTCCAGAATACGTGCCGATCATGAGAAAATCAAACCGTTCCATTTCGAAAGGTGTCAGTGTCTCCGTCTTGTTGTACCTATAGATTTTTTTTACTTAAAAAACGTGGTAACCGACAACATTCCATGCAACTAAGCACGGCAACTCGGGAACTTTTACGGCCATTTCAATCGTGCCTCGATGGCCCATAGCAGCATCTATCCAGTTGTCATAGACAATCCACGCCAAATAAGTTCTGCCATTCTTCCGACCCTTATGAACATTTCTGAGTGCCAGATCGAGGAGTTATTCACGAGCAGAAGTAACTCATATCACTCCCACTCGTCTGCACTCCTCACCGAGAAAGCGAGACGTCTGTACGCTCAACGGAGGCGCTCTGCGGGCGTACGCTGCAGCGCGGTGCCAGCACGTTCCCTCCAGTCGTCGCCACTATGGGGCGTGCGGCCTTTGATAGCAACTGGTTGGTGCCGCACCAAAACCTATGTGTGTATACGGCCTCCACTCCATGATGTGGGTTTGTCGCGGCAGAAAATTACGCGACCAATCTTCGCAGGAGGATCGCCCTTTCTAGACTCATAGCACTCGTTTCAGTGGTGAAAACTCCCTTACCCCACCACGAGCCGCTAGTAACCCTATTATGACGCCCCTCTATGGAGTGGACTACCTTGAAAATTCGAATGACAATTCTCACAAGTTACAAAAAGCAAAAAATATGAAGACTCACTCCCAAGCATCGTAAAGCTGCATGAATCGGCTGACTCCTGTCTGAGCGCATGCATTATCGATGTAAACAGATATCGGTTTGTGAGCGTCAACTCGTTGTGTCCACTGAAAAGAGAAGCGTCAGTCCGTGGCATCTCTTGCTTTTTCATTTATCCGGCTCCATGCAGCAAGAAAGACCAGTGCTCTCTTTCACATGTGGATTTCCCACTACGAGGTAGAGGAGGTGTCAAGGCAAGCAGCACCCTTATCAGGTGCACGGCACGAAGATCAAATCCTGAATCGGCTCCCGATCAGGGAAAGTAAGTCTTCTACTTTAAGGAGACAGTAAGTTGGTGTCGGATTCATCTGGCAGAAGAACCTGATCTATCCATCGGCAGGCCCCCGCCAATCATTGTACAGGCCACATTGCATTCACTTAGCCACTACGACTCCGAATGATTGCATGCCGCATCTCACAAAAGGATCGATCATTGGCGGAAACTTTATTCTTTTCATCCCTTTTGTTTCCACTACAACTCATTTGCAAAGAAGTGCCACTGAGCGTCCGACCAGCAGCGCCGCCTTTACTATACGACCCCTGCCCACCCCCTTGGATACGAATGGGACATCAGAAGCTAATCTTTAGTTCGCTAAAATTCAGCTGCGAAGAGATTATTAGTATTCGCCCTCGAGAAAATCCGCTTGCACGCGGCACAATCCTGCTTCCGAAGACAGGAACTGCAGTAGACAGCTTGTCAAAATTCATTCCCGTATCTCTCGCATCAGATGAGTAGAACGTTCTACAGATCGAAAAGAAAAGAAATTGAAAAAATTTCACTTCGCCGAGCAGCCCTCTTCTTGTACCCGATAATTTTCATACTTAATGGCCAAAATTTGGGAAGACAGACATTTAGTATAGCTATGTTGCTGCTCATGAAGGGCCGAGTAGGTTACTTGAGATTATAGGACTCGAAGAAAGTGCACACTTACCTCCATGGATCGTGATCCTCACCATGTGTGATTCGAATGGGTCCGCAGCTGCAGTAGGGTGCCACTTTCTCCGCTCAAAAGTGGAACGTTGCTGATGAGTCGTGACATCCAAGAACCACTACTGCAGCTCCGGGCCCAACGCCTCGCATATGGAAAAGACGCTCTAGGAGGTTAGCAGAAAGCTTTTCTTTGAGGGCTAAATGGGTGCCGACTTTGAAGTTTCCCAAGTAAATTACATCAGCCACAGACGTAAGATGGTGTAGTGGCAAGTGACGCCCATAATTATCTCGTGGTTGAGCCAAAGTTGCGATCGGTTCCCGCCCGCACCGACCAAGCCTTCCATCGGTTAGAGGTCAATAAACAGGTATCAGACTTGTTCGACCGTACATCGGCTACCCTCATCCCACCGCAGGTCATTCTAGGATATGTCTCCTGAATACCACCACTATTCAGTGTACGAGAGCAGAATGCAGGGGGCAACGCCGGAAATGGATTGATCAGACCCGAAAGCGTCACCCTCTTCAGATTCAATGGAAAGAGCATCTCACCTGCAAGTGAGCAATTGCATCTCCACCAGGATAATTTCTAGCGCCAGCATAAAGAAATGCAGCTGTAGCTAAGAGATTTGCCACAATGTGTAAACAGCAGCCATAGTAGAGCAGACGACGTGCTAGAGACTTCTCCCGATTAATATACCTGGTAAAACAGTTCTCGTTTCACGATAATAATTGACAGCTCTGATAATGTGTATTCTAATAAAGGATTACTGTACGGATGTAGCAGCTTGGGGGCTTTGCCCGAAAGAGCTTTTGAAAATGTTATTTCGATAACGTTGAAAACGTCGCAATCGCTCGGGCGATTTCAGCAGGGATGGAATCAGCTTTTCCGTCACATCACTGGCTTTCTCCGTGAATCACTCATCAAGCGATCGCTATTCGCTGAGTAAGGCAGTTAGAAACGGGCTCATTTCGCATTTCCTGCACCGCCCCGCCTGACTACAACGTTATCAACTATACATCAGGCATAGGAGACGGACCGAGAACGGTCAAATATAGGATTTCGAGGTCACGGTGATCATAGCGATTAACAATGCCCGGAGCTTTGGAGCTGTGACCTTTCAACTCTAGCTCTACGGAACTCTGTAAAAAAAATTTGTTTCAGGGAACATTGTGCTTATTCAACTTACAGGCTAAAAACTAGTACAAGCCAGCTAAGCACCCCATCCTGCCCTCAGTTAATTGGCAGCAAACCGTGATAAATAAAGGATAAAGGCAAGCACCCGTATTTCCCTTCTGAGGCGAAACTTTCGCGTCGAGCTTCAAAATGTGCCTACAGGGAGGACAATTTTGCGAGCTGCAGTGGTCTGTGTCGAAGGCAGAGGGTCTGGTTTTGAGAGGTATTTTTTTTAACTTGGAGAACTTCACAAATTCATTTTGCGCCCCGAGTGAGCTTTTTCATAAAAATGAGAAAGCTCCGCCAGGATGTGGCATCTGAATAAATGCGAAGAGGGCGTTATCAAGAACTTACATTCTTGCGCAGAACACGGCTGCCGAGATGTTCAGTAGTGGAAACGAGTATAAGATGAACCTAAAAGCTTTCGCTTTACTAATGGAAAATAAAAGGAGTTCAAATTGTATACAAAAACATGTATAGTCTGCAAGAACAAATGTGAATTTTTCAGAACTCGAGGCGAAACTTTTGATGTCTTTAGACAAAGGCTACCAAACTGGAACAATCTATTCGCTAGCTAAGAAAGCAGCATTTTAAAAATGTTGTGGAGAATCACCTGAGCTCCTTATGAGGTAGGAAGCTATACAGGAAAATGAACACAAGGGCTGGAAGAACAATAGCTTTCAGTCGACGCTCCAGAAACATCCCCAACACCGCCAGCGGAAGGCTCGCCATCAACCCTCGTGGTAAGCATGAATAAAAGTACCACAAGAAGGGTGATACCTGAAAAAAAGTGGTGCTTGCACACTACACATAAAGAAGGATAAAAGGGAAGCAATTGACGCTCATCAGCTACTTTCTGGGTGCAACACACATGTTACTTCCAGTTCGAATTAGAGTGGCAGTTGAATGCGTGGCCTATATAGGAGCCTCAAAAAAGAAGTGAGTAGCGCACCATCATACATTACGCCGGGCGACAAGATACATGGGGAAACTCCAATTAGAATATTCTAGAGATGCTTCTGAACAGCCTTCACAGTCACGAGAAGGTGAAGGCCTCCACGGTCTCCCAAGTCAAGAAAGCCTATAGTATTTGCGCAAGTCTGATGAGATAGAAGCCGGTTTTACAACTTGCAAGTGTCTAGATGATAAAGGCATCTAGAAGCAAATTAAAGACAGCCCTCGCGCTCAAGTAGTACATGGTCGTCCTCCCTTGGGCAGGTAGTTCAGCCCCAAGCTAGATACTGCCTCACTCTCGCGACTCCTCAGCGAGCGAGGAGCGAGCTAGAACCGCTCAAAGTTCTAGTTCTAACGCCTGCTCAGTTGGACCGCCTCACTAGCTAGCTGCCCTCTGACGGAGAGCCGCTCAGTTGTTCCTTGTTGGGACGGCAGTCATTAATCGGAACTGCATGTATTTTTTGCTGACCGCGCTCGTGCTCGTAAATAATTCTGCTCTCCTTCATCACATTTTATTCATTGGGAGCACGTACAGTCAACAGCAACCCATCTCGTAAGGTAAAACGCGTAAAAATCACGAATGATGCAATTTCTGTGGTGCAAAAGCTCGACGCACTTCACTACACTAAAACATGCTCGCTACCGTAACCCTAAGTTCGGACGCCGGCTTTTTAAATGTTTCCTTTTCTTTTCAAGAGTTTTTCCTCTATGTTTCTGTTGTTTTTTGTTTTCTTTTCTTCGCATTCGATGATATCCACTACTGGGAGATGTGACAAAGTGATTTGTGAGCCAGGGCTTGCACAGAGACCGCAGGGAGGTGTGACTGTCAGGGCGCGATTTTGTTTATGGTGTTCTTGAGGGCTCTTGTTTCTTTTTTCCTTCATTGAGGAAATTATCATCAATTATCCTTGACACTTTTATCGCGAGAGCTGTCTTTAAGTAGCGAGAAGAGACGGTTCACCTATATCGCCTACAGTCGTGTTCGCTGTGGATGATGGGGCATAGCCGGGAACGGTCTAGACAATCTAAATTTTGTCTTCCATCGCGTGCGGCAATGAGAGCGAAATTCTTAACTTGCATTAGCCTGTCGACTGGAGCATAGGGTTTCATTTAATCTACGACATCGTGAACATTTAAACTATTTTTGGTTATACAGTGTCCCCTGTCGCACGACCTGCAAACATCATCATTCGCTGGCCCGCCGCCGCACGCGACGCCAGCTACCGTGTCAAATTACAATTATGTTGTCACATACCCTGCACCGGCCACGCCCCATCATTCGCAGCGAACATGACTGCTTATACATGCGCACAGTACAGCACAGGTTATTAAGCTAGGGAATGAGACTCAAAATTAATTTCAGAAGACTAGCGGAACACAAATAAATGTCTAGGGTCCTGCCGCTCATACCATTTCACGCATATTCTCGAAGCTTTCGGGAGTTCTTCAGAAATCTGGCTAATGACTAGGGCACGCCATTTTGATGGCTGAAACATTCCAAAAAACTATCTCACCGCCCCTCCTCGATATTCGCTGATCGTCAGGGGGAACAGGTGGGGGTGGACAGACATTCGGTATAGTGAAACTGGAGGCATCATCGACGCATCTTAACATTTGAAATGCGACAAACATCATGGATTCCCCAGCCATGATGCGCCCTACTCTAGATTATTACTTCTACAAATTCTTAAACTTACACCATATTCACGGCTTCTGTTATGGAGTATGTTGAACAATGCTACCTCAAACTCGGGATACACGAGACGGCGCCAAAAGAAAGAGTCCAAGGGAATAGTTATACCTGAAGAATCGTATCCATCCGGGCAAATCATCTGTACTAATCTGACAGGCAAGAAAAGAACATACAAAGCACTTTGATGGCAGTTTTCACTCCGTTAATCAGTGCACCATCCCATCCAAAAAGAGGAAGCCTCCCTGTGAAGATAACCCGCAGGAATATTGGGGCAAACAGCAGAACTAACTCACATCTGCAAAGCAATTTTTTCCACCAGTAAAAAATAAGCGTGCTCTCTTCCCACCTGAACAGCACCACAGCCGCAGTTGCCCAACGAACAGCGCTCTCGTACCGATTTTCCAAGCATCTATGATAAACGGTCAGGACTGAAAATTCACCAGTCAGTGGGAAGTTCGCCGCCCTAGCAACTGAAAGGTATTATCCAACACCTACAAATCAATTTTTCCACAAACCTAGGATAAAGGCAAATGTGTTCGGAAGAGTGCGTGAAGCGTAAAACAGCATATGAAATTGGGAGGCAACGATGATTCTGAAGAATTACGTTTAATAAATAGGTCAGACAGCTGGTAGCTAGCTAAATATACACTAAACGAGAGAAAACTTGTGGAACTTGACATTTTCAAACTAAAATAATCAGGTCCTAGTCCGTGCCATGTCTAGGAACGAGCCCGCAGCTGCACTAACTTTACCGGTTGGAAGTGTGCGGGAAAGGGGCTGGAGGGATGAGTCGATGCGAAATAGTCGATGCGAAAGCCACATTTCTCTTTCCAAAACGTTTCACTGACAAAAAGACAAAAGGTCTCCAGGATAACTTTGCTTCATGAGTTTTAGCGTCACTATCAGGACCTAGCTGTTGACCATATCGAGACAAAAATCCCTCTCACGTGTTGAAGATTTACCGAAATTGGCGTTTAGTATAACTAAGAGAACCCGCTCCGGCATTAGTAATCAAGTATCACATTTTTAGACTCTGCAGGTTCATAAGGCTCGAACCACAGCCGACATGGAGCTCGTTTGCTCAAACCACAGCCGACATGAAACTCATTTCCTATCCGGGAATGATACTTTAAACTCATCCCTCAACCAAAGTGGATATCTCCTGCAATATCTCCCCTCCCATCCAGTGTAACTGAATATTCGCCATTGTTCCCAATCCCACCCATAACATCCTAAACACGTTTAAGGCTTTGATAGAATAGAATAGTTTCGAGTACTCATTGAATTTTGTTGAAGAAGACAGTTTAAGGCTTTGTTCATTCTTTGCGCTACCGTACGCCAGCTGTATTATGAAATAGAGTCGATCTAGCGTACGCCAGCGTTTCCAGCGACTAGGAGTGGAGAGTATGTGGAAGTAGAAGGGTAGCAGACTGCTGGACTACGCGTCGTGTGCAACCACACCGTACAATTGCCAAAGCATTATGCAGTCTTGATGTACGGTGCAGTGCAGTTGTACGGTGCGGTTGCACACACCGCAGTTTCACGACGTCTGATCCAGCAGTCTGCCACCCTCCTACTTCCCCATACTTCACTCTACTTCACTCCTGGTGGACGCTAGCATACGCTGGCGTACGCTAGATTAATACCTATACTTTCGTAATCGCTCAAACGCCGCTGTAGTCAGGCACACGTTGCCGTACGCTCGAAACGTTACCGTACGCTGACGTATAGTACGAAAGCAGTCTCAAGCTGCGAATGACACGATTAAGAAGCCAGTGGGCGAGGTGCAAGTAGTTGCACGCTAAATGAGTAAAGTCCAGCCTGGTGAATTTAAGTATCATCAATATTCATAGTCTAGTTCTCTGCAGATGAAGAGGCGTGTCCTACGGTATGAGTTTGGCGCGGTGCCAAACCCGTTCTTTGCCAGTTGTTGAAGCGACTAAGCGACAACAATTGGTGGAAAACGAGTTATACGAAAGGCATGATACAGTCTTGTCGCTTGCTCGCTTCAACAACTGGTGGAAAACGGGTTTGGCGCTGCACCAAGTTCTTCCCCCTTAATCCGCAGCGAGCAAGACTGTGGAACTGTTGGAAGTGTAAAACCTAGTGTAATCCTGAAGACTGCTTTTGTCAAACTAGATAAATATGCGCTAGAGGTAAAAACGTAAGGATGCAAAAGCATACCTCAAAAACACAGCCGTCTCAGCTCCAAGGTGTTTGCGAACAGCTCTAGCGAAATTTAGGAAAGCTATCACAACCGACATT